TTTCCTTTTCCTCACAACACCAATGCAGACTTTATATTATTATTATTATTATTATTATTATTATTATTATTATTATTATTATTAAATATTATTATACAAATCGTATATTCCTTCTGAGGCAAATATTGACTGAAATAGGGTCTCCATTCTTAAAATCCTGTCCCATGGTATTAAGCATTGAAAAAATAAAAATGAAAAAATGTGGTTTTGATAGCCGTCTTTTCCTGTGTCTCCCCCACTTCAATGCTACACCCTCAAAAATTCAATATTTGACTGCGTCGTGCGTGCCAAGTTTTTCCGTCGGTATCGCAGCCAACATTTTGTGTTGTATTTTTCTTCGTATGAGGATAAAGTAGAGATTGTGGGCTAACCATGTGTTTTAATTACATCTCACATTGCAGCTGATTTTATTTGGCTTTTAGTTATTAGTTTCCAAAAGTCACTGCTCTGTTATGAGCTCAAAATGAAGAATATTCTGTTAGTTTACACACTTTATTTACTGACTAGATTAATCAAGGTGGGAGTTTGGATCTCTTTTGGATTCTAGTACTTTTCATATTGAGTCAGGACTGAAAGAGATTCTTATACATTTAAATGGTTTCATCTTGCTGTCACTCACACACTTTTAGGGTTCTGCCAAGGTAATGTGGTGCATTTTTGGTACATTATGCCTTCTGGATGGCAAAATCTGCAGTGGTCATTTGGCCCCAATCTTCACTCATTTCAGCATGATGGCTAAAATACAGAACCGTCTTTACAAGATGCTTATTTTCCCCCAAAGTGAAACCTACAATCATTTTATTACAGTGCAAAGTAATATGATTCATGCTGACTCCTGCAGGACAGGGTAGCGTGGGAAAAGTCCACTGTTTTCTCCTTGGCAGCAGAGAGAGGGAGAATAACATGTTACAAGCTTTTCTGTGACTATATGGAGACAGAGTGCGACAGTGTAGATGTTGTGATTGTAAATGTGAGGCAACAGAGGAGTGGAGTCCATCTGGAAAATATTATTGGTATTGATGCATTATGCAGCATTTGCATATACAGTATGTCGGCTAATGGGTTCAGTGATTAGAAACAACTACATTTAAAGGATCTTTCTCAAAATGTTTGTTTGTTAAGCTAGAAAGCGACTATGTTGGACAATAAATTCTTAATGTATTTTTCACTTTCAGCCTTCAATTTAGATGTGTTAGTGTGGAGCACTGCAGGGAAAACATCCCTCTCCTGCTGTTACAGGAGGAGGTTCTTTTTATTTACAGGCCTGTTTTTTGAGGTTTCCTGTGAATAGCTGGTTAGGCTTGTGGCATGCCTAAAATCCATACTATACTAATTGTTTTTAAGGTAAGTGCACACAAAAAAAAAGAATATACTTAACAATTTTATACAAATGTTTGGATGTCACTCAAACTTGCAGCTTTGAACTGTTACTGCCAATTAAAGTTCACAAAGCGAATGCAAAATTAAGATTTAAGTGGGCGAAAACTGAAAAAGCAACCGACTTTTAATATGAATTCTCTTTGGTCTTAGGATATTTTGTAACAGTATTGCAGTATGCAGTGTTATGATATTTTAATTTATTCAAAATTGTATTCAAAACGTATTTATTTTTATTTATTATAGTCATTTTTGCGTGGTTTTATATTTGTGATTTTCTTTTTGAGGTGTATTTTCATATACACATCGGGTTAACTTTCTTCTCCTGCACAGCTGGTTTCATTTTATGGTCTCTGTGCTCCATAATGCAAGAGATGGATTTAAATTTCTCTACCAAGAGCAATCTCAGTCTCACAGTGGAAAATATCCAAAACCTTACAGGATGCTGTGGTGGAAGAAGTACTCCTTGCAGAAATACTCTAAGTAAAACGTAATCTAAGTAAGGAGTAAATTATACCTCCTTAAAACTCAGGAATTGCACTGAATCTTGTAAAAAGTTTAATATCTAAATCTGCTAGACTGATCATGTAACTTATCCATGTAGACCAAAAATGTACATAATGGGTCAACACTGAAGAGTATCAAACCTTTAATCTTATACATGTATCCAGTTACAAAGACATTTCTTGGAGCCTAACACAGGTTCTTTAGTCCGGGAACACGATTCTGCACCATCATTGATAAACTGGCTGCAAGAAATGAGTCACTTAATTTATTCCGTTGCAGAAATATGCAGAATATGCTGTGATAGTTTGTCCTTTTCTCTCAGTCTGAAAGTTCTGGTATGGTAGAAGCATGCTGGTAAATTCCCAAACAGGTACTGATCCAGAAGGTGATGGCAGTGACGTCATGAATTGTATTCGAGAGGAGAACTGAAGGTTTCTCATACTGTACCACACCTGATGAACTTCATCCCGTGGAAGGTATTTTGAGTATTTCCACACAAGTTTAAAAATAAAAAACAACCTCAAGGAGCAAAGAGCACAAATGTATTTTTTATGTTATTTTGCAGGTTCGTCACTGGAAGACTAACAAAGAGCTACACAATCTGGACAGGTAATACAAACCTACTGAACAGTGCTTTTTAACCATTTATATTTATTAATTGTGAACATTTACCTAAAACAATACTTAAATCCCTAATGAGACATCTGTCTTCTAGATCTGTTGTTACTGCAAATATTAAAGGAACCAACTACTATAATACTGTTTTTTTTTTTTTTGGTATGGTCTTGATGGATAATACTGTTCCAAATACCAACATCTAACACAAAATTAGGGCATATTCATGTTTATGGGGAGGAAAAAATAATAAAAAGGTTTGTAATGCAGTGACTCTTGTAAAACCGAAACAAATGACAACTTATGATTTACTGGTTGCACTTTGATATGATGTCTGCAGGTGCAATCCTCGCTTCATTTCATGTCAAGTACAAATTGCAGGCCTGCAGTATTTAAATTCTTGCACTGACTGATAGTTCACTGTGAAAATTAATGATAATATCTTAATTTTAATTAGAGTTGAGCTACAACTAGCCATCAAACAGGATTTTGCATGTATTCCATTAGACATGCACCGATGGATACCGAGCTCATGCACTCCAGTAACGCCCCCGATGCCACTTTACGGCAGCGTGGTGTTACCTAACCTCTCGTTCGCTGAGCAGGAAGGCGGCGGAGAAGCAAGTCTGGAGATATTTGAAGCAACTTTGACAACAGCATTTGCAACCTTTAATTTGTTGCAGTCAGAAAGTGAGAAGCATCTGTTTTCAAAGTCATCGTTAGAGCTGTAATGGTATTAAGTACTTGTTATTGGCAAATAGACAAATGTAAATATTTATATATAAAGGTTTTGTACATCCCTATATTTAATTAACTGAGAAAAATGAAGCCGTTAACACCCACAAAAGTTCCATATTTTGACAAATCTTAAAACCAATATAAAAAACAGTTACAGCAATGAATTGCATGTAACATTTACATAGTTTTTGGGTAAAATACGTATAGGAATCACGTTGAGACGATAATCATTCTTATGTTATTCTGCTCCTTATTTAGTCATTCCAAGCAAATTGTGATTTAAAATTCAAGACAGAGAAATGCAGTGGAACAGAGTTCATTGTATTCATCTGAGAATTTCTATTTTGATATTTATCAGGAACTAATCTCAAATGTAATTTCTTTTTTTAATTTAGGCTCATTGCCCGGTCTTAATACAAGTTTCAGTGTATCTGAAGTCTTCAAATGGTGAGAAGATGCTAGTTTATAAGCCCAATCCAACAAGACATCATTTAAAATAGCCCTACAGTCAAGTGTTAGCCGGTGAAGCTGCAGCTATCTGATCAGTGATTGAATAAAAATGTTTCTCTTAGAATGCATGGAAGATGACAGTTTTATTGTATCCAAGACAACAGTATGATCTTAATGTGGAAAAGATGTCAGTTCACTGTACTGTAAGGCAATATTTAAAGAAAACGCTTTAATATAAGAAGTGTAGTTCCCTTTTACTGTAAACACTGACTATCCACAAGCACCTCTCCTCCGGACAGGGAGCTTCTTGTCAAGAGTTCATTGTAGAAAAAGTTTCCATTCATCAAATTTTGTCTTTTTGCAGTACCAAGAAATGACTTGATGGTTGTAGGTTAATACACTGTATAAAACATACTCTCAGGTCTGTGTGGATATATAGACATCTTTGTACTATATTTGTGGAAAAAAAACAGACAGGTTGGTCTTTGGTTCCACTCTAAAGTGCAGTTTCTGTGGTGCAGCAGTGTCGAGTCTTTGGTAGCTGGGAAAAAGGTTCAGAGGATCAGAGGCACCAGTTTTCATCCTCTTTCACATCAGACAACTAAAAAGTTTAGATTCGCTGTTTTAACAAGCAGTCTTGTAATCCACACTTCTCTCTTGTTGTGTCTTACGTAGGAAAAAAGCCCAAACTGCTCTCTAGCTTTGCTAACAGAGAAGCAGAGACGTGACGATTGCAACAAGAGCCACCGTGACGTGTTTCTGGCTGCCCCTGTGCCATCCCGTGCAGTCATTGTGGTGCAGCTGAGGCCTGTTGCCGCCGTCCGCTCTGCTGTGGTAGGACGGCTGGCTGCTTGCTGAGCACTGCACCAGGGGCATCTGGTAGGAGGTGGCCCGCTTCTCCGGCCGGTCCGGGCTGGAGCCGTCGCTGGGGCGCTGGCCGTTGTAGAGCAGGTAGCGGCCGTGGGCGTCCTGCTCCATGCGGAAAAGCTCGTACTCTGTGTGGGGGAGCCGGATGCCCAGTGCCACGCAGCCGTTGGTTATGGTGACGTCCTGCTCCACCCCGACCTGCCAGGACCCCTGCACGCCGCACTCGTTACCGTTGAAGACGTTGAGGAGGGAGGTGGTGGCCAAGTCCATGGGAGTTACTCTCATGTGGTTCACTAAAAGGAAGAAAGGCACAAAAAGACCCGTTAGCTCTAACCGCTTCTTACAGAGTTACCAATATAAATCCTGAACATCCTGTGTTTATGTGCAGAGTAGTGATTGTAGTGCTCAGGGTGTTGTAAACTCTCAACTGGATGACTCACTAAAACAATGTTTTTCTGCTCGCTGTTCCAACTTGGGCCTTATTTTTGTCATTTTGGCCATTGTTACTGTTATAACTCACCGAGATAATTGCAAGGATCTGGGAAAATGATGACATTGAGGCATGAAACACAAGCAGTCAGGCAATCAGCTAACAAGTAAACAAGCCAATAGAAAAGTTTGAGATGAACTTTGCCTAAAGTGGGCGAGGTGAGGCGGCAGCGACAAAAAGCTGCAGTCAAGTCGGATAATATAAATATACAGAAAGTCACAGAAATGTTTCCATACTGTTAGATCATCTGTCGGACCCTTGTTTTTAGATCCCATCCCGATATATAAATATTATCAACCACACAAGATATGTTTGTTCGTACAATCTAGAGTCAAATACTGAAAAACGTGGTATTTGTTGTCAAAACTAAGAGCCAATCTCTTGATCAGGCAACAGGCAGGCGTTTTCCATCATGTCCTGGGTCCTGCAATCAGTGGAAAGCAACTGCAGCGCTTTGATCTAAAAACTGCGGCAGCCGATTGTCAGAGCAAGTCGGCATCAAGTCGAACACAAATCTAACTGGCGTGCATTGTGTGCCGATCGCCGGTGATCGATTCTGCGCAGGCCTTGTAAATCTCAAGTAAAATGATCCACTGTGAGTGAGTACAATAGGTCAAAAGTTGAACCAAGATGTCTGTAAACTATGATGGAAGTTTACAAAAAACAGCTGGGGTAATAATTTACCCCCCCCCCCCACACTATAATTTACTCTTCCAAACGTGTAAATCTGACATCTCGTCTTTCTTGCCCTGTCAGACATCTTGAGTAATTTCAGTAATTAACTGGATGAGTACAATGTTAGAACAGATAGAAGCAATGAAGCAATGACCAAAAATAGAAGAACCAGCTAGCATGGCTCTGTTTGAAGGTTACAGATCAACCAACCAACACCTTTTATATCATATGTTGTATCGTATTTGTTTAATCCGAATAAAAACGTGTAAAAACGACCTGTGTAGGATTGTTTCTTGGCCAGGTACAGTAACTTGGCAGTCTCCGCTGGTTGCGGATGCACAAACTCCGACATGTCACTGCACATAACGCCCTGTCCCCTAAATTCTTGTTTTTAAACTTTGGCTTTTGTACATATTGAACAAACCAGGTATAACGTGTTAATTAACAAGTTTTAGGTGCACTTATGGTCAGATTTTACCTGCTGGCTGCAGTTAAATATTTCCCAAAATGTTGAACCATCCAACTGTTACAAAGAGTCAAGAAATGGTTACATCTACCATAAAAAAGACAGTAAAGGAAACAATGTGTCCTGTACCTGTCCTGTAATGGTGGTCATGATAAGAAGTGTAAATTTGTATAGTTTGGCTTCTGAATGCATACACATAATCTATATAATGGTTTCTCTATTCTAAATGTTCACAAGAGGAGGAAGATTTGGTTTTCCTGTCATTTGAAATGTAGTCTCTTCTGAGAATTGTTGGTATTTTTGAAGAAAATCAAAGCTGTAAGACACGAAGATATCCACCAGTTACCTTTAAAGACGAACTCCGTCCCACCCATGACGCGGGTGGAGTGAAGGCCTCGGCTGTAGCGTCCGCGGGCGTAGATGGTGAAGGTGGGGTGTTTACAGACGGGGTCAGAGTAGTGGTAGTAGTGGCCCTCCCAGGTGTGGTTGTTGTCATGGAAGATGAAGTGACGGGTGAGGAAGAGGACCTCAGGGCGAACCTCGCAGCGCTGGCTCACCCACTGACCGTACAGCCCGACTGTCAGATCGGCCCGTGGCGGCAGGATGGGAGGGTGGAACTCATCGGAGCGGTAGATGATACGACAGGCAATGCAGCCGTGGTCATGGTTCTGAAAAAAATAAAGGGATAGAAACTTACTTAAAAAATATACATATATACAATTACTGTCATTTCTTGAATTTCCCTCGGGATAAATAAAGTATCTATGTATCTATGTATGAAATATTCCAACTTTGGCACCCATTAATAGCAGACAGCAACAAAGGCACCTCTACATGTGACATGGAAACAATGACATGAATAAAGGTAACAGACTGCACTGATTTTCACCATGATTGCCTCATTTTTCATCAAAAAATAAATAAAATATTGAATATTGTTGAAGTTATAAACAGATTTTTGACAGCACCCTAGTGTTTTATCGTCATGATTTACCATTTGGTGGGTGATTTTTCTCAATGCAAACCACAAAGTTAGACTGATACTGGATTTTTCAGGTATATACTGATATTGATATTTTAAAACAATCAGAAAATACATAGGCAGATATTTTTATTTGCACAAAACAAGATAAATGAACAAAAGAGTAAAACAATTTTACTGTTAAAAATAAACTTGGCGGTGGTCTTTCAAAAAATAAAACGTTCTCATCTCTGTACTGCAGTTTCTTACATTGGCCAACTAAACACTTACTGATATATCTGCAGTAAGCTAATATCAGCTGATAATATTGGTTTGGCTCTAATGGTGTGATCCATTCAAACTGGGAAGTCAGAATTCCTGCGTTCCTGGTCGGAAATTTCAACTGCAATGCTCCCTGGAGTCAGATTTCCAACAAGAAAAGTCGGAAGAAGCTCACCAACCCTGACCTCAAAATCAAAGATGGCTGCTCTGCACGTCAACTAAGTGAAAGTTGTAGTAATATTCTGTTCATTGACTCTTTTGTTTCTCATTAAATCAGTCGTACATAAGTGTCGCGTCTGTCTGCGGACACGTTTGCCTGAGCAAAATGCGGTTAATGGCTAACGTGGCTAGAGCTCGGTTTTCCGACTTGTACGGGAATGTGTACAACTACGGTGTGATGTCATTCCCAGCTCTGACACTTACAGGTGAGATAAAAAAAACCCTAATTTAGCAAGGATGATATTATAAAATCAGCTGTTGAGCTAAAGTTGCCACCAAACATCACTGTGCGAAAAACCCAGTCATATGAAATCCGTCGGTGTTAAAGCTTCTTAAATCCATCATCAGTATATTGTATCACGAAATCCACACAAAGGATGTCTGGCGTCTGTTCAGAGGTGAATGAGGAAAAACTATTTCCTTCAGTCTGAACCTCTTGAGTGTTGGAAGCCAGACAAGGTTCCAGCATTTTCTCAGGGTGATCACATCATTTTACCGTAAAAAGACAGATGTCTGGTCGAACTAAAGCCGTGACAACAGGAAGTCACACAGCGAACAGCGAGCTGAACTTTCATGCTACTTACAAACAACAGCGGGATGTCTTTTATTCGCCTTCATATTGACCAAAAAAAAAGGGGGGGTTTGTAAGTCTATAAATGAACATTTATCATATTCAAGTCATATCATGTCTGCTTGAGTGGAGCCCCTGAGCAGCATGTGGTCATAGTATCCACAGACAGGACAGCTGTGGGTCTCTGGCTGCAGGAAAGACTTGAGGGCCTGACGGACTCGGAGCTGGAAGCCTTCATACTGTATTCCACAAATTCTCTTCCAAAGACCAAACTCCAGGGAGGCAGTGGAGTTTTTGTTATTCGAGGGTGGTCAAAATTTAAGACCTAACCTCCCCGACCTAATCACTCTTTTCCCAGACAACACTAGGTCCACATGGGATTTACGGGGAGTTTGAAAAAAAAGAAGAAACAAAGAATGCTGAAAGACGGAGGAAAAACAGGAGTATCACTACATCCTACAGATGAGATAGTCCCAGCACAGCTCCATAAGCACCTCTGAGTGAGAGGTTAATGGTACGAAAGCGGAAGCGAGGCCTCTTGAGCATGGCGGGGGTTTTTCTTTTTTTACGGGTGTGTATCTCAGCACTTGTGCACCTGTGTTTGTGCGTATGAGTAAGAAATATACCATACATGCAGCAGGGAAAAAGATATAAATACAGTACACAGAGAGAAAAATATGTACGCATATTTTAGCATATACAGTATTTATGTAAGAATGCAAGGAAAAAGGAGCAGACGGTGGGGGGGCTTCCTGTTGCAGGTGTGGAAAACATGTTCCAGATCTGCAGGATCTTTAAGGCCATAAAACAAAGTCAGCCTGTCTGAGCCGACTATGAACATGTCTTCACTGCACGTCACTTTCTTATCTTACACATGTTCAATTCTAGTGTCTTAAATTAGAATATTAACTTTAAATAAAAACATTAAAGATTAAACATAGTGTCTGCAAGGTGCAACAACAAGCTCCAGCAGTAAGGTATAGCAGTCTGTATACAACCTGAGAGGCAGTGTGAAGGTGGATTAGATGCTTCTCTCTGGTGGATGGACAGTAAGAAAGCAACGTTCAGATCGATTTTAGTAAGAAAATCAACCTGAAAAGTGAGCGCAGCATATAAAAATGTTAATCTGGAAGTCTGTAATCAAGCAGTAATCACAACTGAGTGTCAAAGCCAAGTCAGATGTGCCTTAGGCGTGCTTTACACAACACAATACTTATAAGCATTTGCAGGTTGCAAATAAAAGTTTTACTGGTGCTGTGACACCACACTTATCCCTAACATTCAAATTAATGACCTAATTTATGGCTTTTAGTGGATGGTTCTTTAACAGAAAATGTTCTACTGGAGTCAAAACATGTAAAACGAAAGACTACTGACTTCTGTTGAACTGATAAATATAAATTTAACACATTTTCAGCTCCAGCTCGGTGTCCAAATTTGGGTTCCCAAGATGGCTGTAAGTGTTAAACTGAGCTCCAAGGGTGAGCACATTGTCCTTCAGTGAGCCACCTGGTGATCTGATGTAAAAGCAGTGAGCCCCTCCAGTTATCAGTAAGTAATCAAGGGAAAAGGGCTACAATTAATGAATAACTGCTAGCTGTTTTTCATAATTTTGCAGAAACAATCCAATCAGTTTCCAAGCTAATAAGGCCACGTTCAGACCAACTTCAGCACTGAGTGAAAAACTAAACACAACAGTCCTTTCATTCATTTAAATGTAGTCAGTCCATTGACCATTGTTCCTCAAACTGGACTCACTGGATTGTATCTCATTGTGTCACCAGTACCATCAAAGACACGCCTCCACCAGCACAGCCCTCTGTTGTTTCTGGTCTGTATTCCCGCTAAGACAAAGAAAAACTGGAAATCGGCAAATCCAAGAAGCTTGAACAAGATGATGTTTGGCATTTCTGCTATTAACTGAATTTGAAACTCACTTCCAATGAAAGAAAGTTAACCTATAACAAACTATTCTCAGTTGGAGGTGGAGGAAGCATGGCTCAAAACTTTAAACTTTACATTTAGTCTTTGTGATAGCTCACAATGTCCAACCTGTAGTAAGTGTAAGTGTTGTGTCGCAATATGCTTGAAGCAAATTGTTTAATACCCTTACTGGGACTGAAGGAAAACGAGGAAACGAGGAAGGATATTACTGCTCGTTTTATATAAATTACATTTATTAATTTCACTTTTTACTACCACATTTGGCAGCTGCTTTAGTCTGAACCGACATACAGTTGAGGTACAATCCAAACTACAACAGATCAAGGAGAATTAGAACTGAATTTCACTTTGTTTGGCAGAAATCCTTCATTTGGGCATTTTGTGGATTACTGCCATAGTTCAGGGGAAGATGATGTCCAGAAGCAAACATTTTACGAGGAACAGAAATTACGTGAGGCTTTAAAATGCTTCTTTAGAAACCTGTTGGTGATACACTAAACCCATGTTTTTTTTTCTATGCTGACATCCTTAGAGATAGACCAGCATCACAGATAACTTCCCAGGAATTCATAATAAGAGTCTTATCTTCGACAGGAGAGCTTTTAAATGTATTTTGAGGGAGTATTAAAAGGACAACATGACATAAATCAAACTCAGGAAAGCGTAACACAACATTACAAATCAGTCTCTGCATGAGGGACACATGCAAAAACAGACAACCACAGAAACACTTTAGCAACAGCAACAATATAAAAACACACATCCCTTCTTAACAAGGATCATTATCAAGTGGTCATTACTCTGCCTCAGTGACGCAGCAGTGAACTGGGCGACAGAAAACAGAAGAAACAAACTCTGAAACAAAGTCTGCTGCCTTGCTGTTGCATCACTGCTGAGATCCACCCAATAACCACAAATGAACATGCTGGCACCAGCAAATGTTCTGGACTGGGACCAGCACTGGGTACACCGCTTAAGATTAATGGATTGGATAGTCACCATGGCAGTAAAAATCCCCGAAAAGAAACCATTACAACCTCAAGAGATGGTCGGATTTAGTGCTTTTTGTGTAGGAAGGAGTGAGGTATTTTCTACCACTGTTTCACCAAAAAACTAATTTACTGTATGTGCATAGTTGATGGCCAATGGGGCCCAAAATTGACCAAAGCTATAAAATTAGTAAACTTTTACGATATTCAGAAATGCCTATAATGCAGGCTTGTATTATTATAGAGGCACATTACCAAGCTAGTAAGCAAGCAGAGCGAGCAGCAAAGCAAAAGGTTGAATACATTTTTAATCTTGTGCAGCACAAGTTAATAACTCTCCATAAAAAAACCATATAAAAACTTATATTTCTACATTTTATCTCTTAACGGGATCTGGCTTAGCAGATAGTTTTGAGTCTATGTGCTGAGGGTTTGAGATTACTGCCTCCACCCGTATACAATGGAGGTGAATGCAATTTCATTTTGTTGCTCAAAACTGATTTAAAGCAGCATTGATCCATTTTTGAACACTTGGGGGCAGTGCAACAAGCTGTAAATGCAACACTGACATTATCATCTTATAAAATTGATAATATATAACACAGCTGTTGATACTCAAGAAAACTAATTTTACACATCAAAGTCTGTTTAGTAGTGTTTCCAAAAAAACTGCAAAGCCTTCATCACCAATATTTGCACTCCACCAACTCCTGAAGGAAATAATTGGCTCATTAGCTGTTCAACAGTTAGTCACTAACTTTCTAACTTTTCTAAATTGCTGCAGCTGGAAACGAGGTTAATAAGAGCGACAGGAGTGAATTGAAACTGTAAGGCTGCTGATTGTAAAACCAAAACAATGAGCTGTGAAACAAACGATCTGTAGAGCTGAGAGAAACTGCAGAGTGAGTTAATTCTGTGAGTCTGTCACTACAAGAACACTGTTAACATTAAACATAGTTCATTGACCATTGATCAATGCAGCTTTAACACAAGTTCAGCAGATGTCTTAAGAAACAATGTCCAAAGAACACATTGTGAACAGTTTATATTGGAACAACTTTCTATAGAGAAAAATACCCCCAATGAAATCTTACAGTGGATTATCTACAGTAACCGGGGACGCCGTTTCTGGAAAGAGATGTGGTTGTTGAATTATGCAGCAGCACAATCAGACCTCCATTCACCTCTATTACACTGGGGTGGCAGCAGAAAAACAGGTCTCTCAAAACATTGGCAAGTAAAAAAAAAAAAAAACAATCTGCATGGCTAGATACTACAGATAAGTGAGAAAATGCATGTATTTGTAGTTTTGTTGACCCTTTAAAAAGGCAATGCTGTAATTCTGTTTGACTCATAACTGCAACTTTGGAAGTGCAGCTAGAAGTGCTGCTTGCCCAACACCCCGGCTTCCTTTTTATTCAGAAAAAAATTGAGCAGAAAAAGAGCACATGCAACACTTTGATTTGAGCCTCAGGCATGCATGAAATCAGACCTGGTATGCGCGCGCTGGAATAATTCATATGGCCGCATGATTCCAAATTCTAGGAATACCACATGTTGATTGCTCCCAGAGATAGGCCGGGGTTTCACATTGTGCCTCTGCGGGCCAGAGGGGCTTAAGGAGAGCAGCGCTGGTCATTACAGCACCACAGGGGAGCTTGTCTGATCACAGCTCCTCACTCCACACTCTGTTTACATTCTGATCAGCAACACCAAGTCCCATCATCCCCGTACAAATGGATGTTTATTTAGACAGTGGACTCGAACAGGATTTCATTGTAATCTCTGCAGAGGGTGACAGTGAAAACATCACTCTAGGGTTTCAGCCAGCAGGGAAACTGCTGTTCGGCAGTGTAAATAGAGAAATTACATCCCGTAAGCACAGCGGAGGGAAGAAAGAGCTCTTTCTTAACACTAGATTTGGGAGATGAAATCATTATGTACATAGTTTCTGGTTTCTTCCAGTGCAAATGTTTAGAGTATAAAAGGGCAGGATTGTTGACACACACACTGATTCTGGATGGATTAAACTTTATTTGTCTTGGATGGCTGTTTGTTGCCACTGACGGGCAGATTAAGGCACAAAATGTCAGAAAATGACAAAACTCTACATTTCTGCATTTTACACTTAACATTGAATGTTTTGTCAGATCTGTCCACCAAAACAAAGAAAGACTTACTTTCAAATACTATTCTACCCAGGTCTCCTCGCAGCCTTTGCTTAAGATAAACTCTCACAAGAGAAACGCAGTTCTTAAGGTCAGTTCATGCCGTTTTCTGGTGTGTGTGGTCTTTGCGGTGTGGAGGGTCGACACAGTGGGAGTTAAGTTCAGCAGAGGTTCTGTACAGAGCTGCATGCTCAGGACAGAAAACCTGTCCTATGGCCTATGGCTCAACCAAAGAGCCACAGACATTATGCATGTTTTCTTCTCAGACTGTTTCATTTTTAATAATCTTTAGTATTGAACAAGAGACAGAGTCTGCAGCCATGCCTAGCAGCTCTGTGAAGCTGTGCTAAATGCAGCTGTCAGCATGCTAACATATCAACAGTGACAATGCTAAAATTCTGTTATTAAGCAGGTATATTGCTTACCAACTTCCATGCCAACATTTTCTAATTAGCACAAAACATAATACAGTTGATTACCAAAGTTAATACAGTTCATCCTGAGGCAGGCAGGAATGTGTGTACCAAGTGTCATAGCAATCCATCCAGTAGTTGTTGAGACATTTCACTTAAAAATTACAAACGTCAACCTCATGGTGGCACTAGAGGAAATCATTTCTATCTTGAGAACATTTCTGTAGAATTTAATGGAGATCCATCCAATAGTTGAAATATTTCAGTCTGGACCAGATAGCCACACGTTGCCACTGCCATCCCAAGAACCACATAGCTAACTAAACATCAAAGAAAAGTCTAAAAAATGAACACACTTCTGTGCTGCTGAACATCTTGAGATCTCTCGGGAGGGGAACTAGCAATCACAAGAATTACAGCTGCTCTAAATAAACCATTATTTTCAGCCTACAGAGAGTTATCCCTCTTAACTCTAATTGAGAGATGATCATTAGGGACTTACCTTGGCGTTTTGCAAGGCGGTCTGGTAGCTGGACGGCTTGTAGTACAGCCTCTGGGACAGCTCGGTGTGGATGTCTCCTAGAAACAGCTCCTCCACTAGATGATCCAGGTTGTGATGCAGGTACTGCTTCTCTACCCTCAGCAGCTGCAGCTCATGCATGGTAAAGTTAAGCTCTTTGGAGCAGTCAAAGCTGCCCTCCTCGCTCAAGAGCTCGTAGATCACATTGGGCTCCCAGGGGCCCTTCACAGCCCCTCTACAGCTGTGGTTGAGCCTCTGGCTGACATCTTTGGCCACGGTGGCTGTGTGACAAACCATCTGGACGCGGTGGAGATGGTAGTCCGCCTCTGTGCCGCCACGGATGATCCAGGAGGCCTGGCGTAAGCGCAGACGACCCCGAATCACCAAAGTGTAGGTGGGTTTGGTGCAGTGGTTGTCCTCGTAATAGAACTGGTGAGCCTGGAAGGTGCTGTTGGTGAAACTGTAGGAGCGCGTCAGGAACTCTGGGCCTGATCTCACCTCACAGCTGCAACAGAGAACAGGAAGTTTCAGATAAACACCGTACAAGACTACTCCCAGAAAAATATTCAAATAAATATCTAGAAGATTTAAATTGATCCAGAGATTCAGTGTGCAGAAAGCCATTCTCCTTTTGCATTGCCTGCGTTTGTCACGGTTTAAAGACCTTCTGACTTTAATTGAAAATAAGATCTTCTGAACTTTTAATGTGGAATGAAATTATGAATTGAGTTTTGGTGTGGAGCACATCTACCGTAGGATGTCGAGGAATGTCTGAATTCTAGTCTTTTTCATGTTTGACTAATCTTTGCATCGCCATAGACCAAAATATACCATTAGCTTCTACAGTAGTTCCATATCTGTAGAGCAATTCATCATACTTAAATCTACATTTTAATTACACTATGCATGTAAAAGCCAAACAAGAAATAAATAGCTAGCAACTCTGTGCAGCACATTGGTTTCATGCTTTGTATTGGAACTATGTCAAATTGCATCTTCCCTATAAATAAATTCAGATATTGCTTTTATTTTTACCTTCCAGGCAGCCACTGGTTTAGTTCATTCCAGTATAGTAAGAACATGACTTGAAAACTATTTTTCACTATTGGGGTCAAAGTAAAGTTTGTGTGGTAATGCAGATGCAAGCAGGAAATTGAGTGAAAACTCTCTGTGTTGCATTCAGTGAAACTCAGAAAAATATATTTCGTATATAGAGTTCAGATGTTCAGCAGATGACAATAAGTACCACAAATGCACCAACAAAGGATTTCAAAGCACTTTAAAAACTGCTCACAAAAACTGATAGAACAGACTAATAAAACAGAAAACTGCAAAGTGTATTTTCTTAATATAGAGGAAAGAAATAACGGTTATCCCTCTATACTTAAAAATCAGGTTTTATGGCATCAGAAAAGAGTAGGAGCTCTTCCTGGACTCAATTTAAGGTTCTCTTTGGATGCATATGGACGCAAGCATCACAAGAAAACTCCAAGGCACTCAATAATTGATTTTTATGTTTTGTTACTAATAGTAAAGTATATGCAGGAAGTTCCCCAATAAACATCTATCGTCCAACTATTTCAGGCTACATGTCATGTCTTAATTCCCTTGTTTAAATGTAGTAGCCTGGTTGGATTGGATTTTATATGTAAAAACTCCTAGTTTGTTTACCTGGTGGACACCCAGTGACCCTCTACGTTTGGAGGCATCTGCACAGTGATTCGGGCTCCATTGTGAAGGTGCTTCAACATGTGATGGCACTGGGAGTCTTTGACCAACCGGCCAAAAGTTTTCTCCATGGAGAGGCGGCTGGACCGACCATCTGAGTAGTGAAGAGAGGAACCTCCAGCCCAGCCTGAGGGAACAACAAGGACACCAAAGGTTTAAGCTCAGGTGATAAAGGCTTAAACCTTTAAGGCATAAAGAGAGAAAAGAGATTTATTCCATTAGATTTGTGCATTACATAAAAATTTCAGGATTCAAATGATTTTATTGTTGAATTAATAAAGCAGCATCAAGGAACTTACTCAACTTATTTTGTTGATTTTGGCAACCCCCGTGGACAAAAGTGGTAGTGTTTCTACTTTCTTATTTCATTGATTTCAAGGGGAATCTGCCCCAGTGGCAAGAATAACTATACAGTAATAGCCAACAGGTCACATCAGTATTAAATTTAGACTGTTTCATAACTCCATGTAGTACATCTGAGTAGTGTTATTATACTGAAATCTTGAATAGATACATCATTTTAAAAAAATGCAAGACACATGCAAAAACCTATTCAGCGATGTTTGAAGAGGTTTGCCTCATTGAGGTTGAAACGTTGAATAAACCACTAAAGAACGAGTTTAGTTTGGCAGAGCTGGTTTCTTTTAGATCTCTACATCCTAGTAAATGAAGCACAACTGCTGTTAAAGGCAACTAATAGATCACATAGAAAAATAAATTGTCTTGTTAGTTTGAAGCTTGGATCTCATGCTTTCAACATCAATCAGTCGGGCCTCTTTGAAGTGTTTAAAGGGTTTTATTTAGTCATTTTAACTCATGTCATCACCCGCGGATTACTGGGCTTTATCAATGACCTGCAACACCTGGTATGAGTAGAGTCTTTATGGGTCAATATTAGCTGAACATGTGATGAAAAGGTGAAACTTTAGATGTTCTAAGTTGAAGAACTGATTGGCGGGTTTCTGCTGCCACAGACAAACACTAAAACAAACTCTGAAATCAAGCTACAAACAAAGTTAAAGAAGGAAGCGAAGCAGCACTGACAGTTCAAAAACTCTCAGTTCTCCCACTCTCCGTGTACCCCTCAATGCACCACATGAAATAACAATACCTTCAACAATGGGCTCAGCTTAAGGGGATAAAATATCGGAAATGAAAGCATTTTCAAAGCCTGCAGCCAAAGAAAAGCCTCCAAGCTCACATTCCAGCAAGGATTTATTCCATATAATACTCTAAATATCGTCTAAATCTACCTTGAAATATGAAGACTTTGCCTTAAATTCTTTCTATTGGCCCCGACTTGCCTGGCAATATCATTTAACGCCTTGGAATGCCGCTGCGGTCGCCTCTGTGCTTTTAATTTGAGACTAATAACACAGAGGGAGAAACAAAAACATCTGATTAAAAGCAGCCAAAAAAGCTCCACGAAAGAACAAAGCTCCATCCAGTTGTTTTACACCCAGCGAGGCAGCAACTATGTGTGTTAGCTGAGGCTTGTGTGTAAATCACCACATCACAGCGCTGCTCAATGGAAACACTGGACAGTGGGGAGACTTGATCCTCCGACTCAGCTGGTGGCATTAGTAACGCTGCTGCTGGCTGGAGCTGTGTTAAAAATCAAAGACAAGGCTTCACAGTTTGCTGCATTTTATATATGAGTGTGTGTTTATGTGCGTGTGAGGCCTTTTTTTTTTTTTTTTTACACACCTGCAATCAGGGGAAAGAGCCTGAGTGGCTGCAAACAGCTTGTTTTCACAATGATCAGAGCAAAAACTATCACTAAGTGTGTGTAAGTGTGTGAATTAAAAAGGAAACCCAGTGAGATGAGTAATTCAAACACTCTTTTAACCTCACTGAGGTTTCTGCTGGTCAGATAATGCTTCTGGTTTAACAGCAGGTGAATTTCAAGGTAGGACACACACACGGACATAAAACCACCATATTTCTATGATTTGAAGACAAATATATGCCAACACACAAGGAAACAACTATAGCTGGACATTAGGGACCTATTCCTGACAGAGTTATTAATATATAGTAGTTTCTAGAGCCCAACTGATGAGGCAATTACTCAATTAGTCAATCAACAGAAAACCATTTGGCATTTTGAAAGTAAAAATTCCCCAAAACCCCAGTTCCAGCTCCTCAAATGTGGATATCTGCTGGTTTTCTTCATCTTCTAGGACATGATCTATGACAATGTTTTTACTATTTACTGACATTTTACAGCCTGTAACAATTACTTGATTAAACCAACAATGGGGTTGATTTCTAATGAAAATAATTGTTTTTACAATTGCCCTTCAATTTTCAATTTATGTCTATAAACTTACAAGAAAGTTTTACTAACCAAACAGCTAACAGCTCAGTAACAGTAACATTTAACGAAACAGAAACCCATCAGAAGAGTTAAAAAGTGTAAATCTCACTCTTTTTTTTAATAAGATGTTGTTGATGATTTTTGACACATTATTTGTTCCTGATCACCAGAACCTGAAAACATTTCATGTTGTGGGGAGGGCCACATGGATGATAAAACCCACTCGCAGACACATCAAGTATAAAACATACAGTGTGGAATGATTTCTGGGAATTTGGTTTGGATTTACATCACAATAGGAACATGAGAAGAGCTGAGACGAAGATAAATCGCAGACAGATAACTCAGCGCTACAGCCAGAACCCTGGAAAGCTCCCAGAAATCAGCCATGTTGGATTAAAATACCTCCACAGACGGTTATTATGGAAATGTTATATTAAGACACAGGAAGAAGCTGATGATAAGATAGGGGAATTATTTCCTGACATTCTGCTGCAGCGTAATCTATATGTTGAGGAATAATGCTCAAGCTGCTGAATAAAGCAATTTGCAAACAATGGAAGAAACCAAAATCACAAACCTCTCCAGTATCTTTAATATCTATTTAAGTTTCCTGCAGCTTCCAAACAAATCAGTGACTTCCCGCTCTCTCCTCACTTAAAAAAGGTGTGCAGTGTTAAAAACCATGTAGGATGCACCTTTCTTCACCGTTTTTAATAACAGATGTGGATAAATTATCAAGTGTTTGTCTATCTGATGTTAAACTGAACGGCAGCAACACACCTGATCCAGAGTCAGCTCCAGCAGACCAGGACTTAATTTGTGGCTTTGTGAAAATATCATCATTTCATTATAATGAAACGTGAGCTTTATTTAGAGTAATTTTAAAAACAGTTGCAAATCTATTTTTTTTACGACATCAAAGCACAAACGACAACTCAGAATGGAAAACAGGCTTATGGGGAAATAAATGAGGAAATGATTAAAAAGAGGTTATGTGTAGCCTGTTTGTAAAATTACTTTTTAAGAGGACGCGTCATACGACTTCTTCTCTACTCATTTAATGATTGTTGAATGTGTGAGTGGTGGGAGTTTCTTCCAATAACTTTTTTTTTTTTTCTCCTTTAAAAAGAATCCAAACTCTCCCCTCATTACGGCAATAATCGGAGCGGCTGGACTCGAACCCTCCTCCGGTCCCTCGCCGCTCAAACTGCTGCTCTCTATCAAAATCAAAGCGCCCACAAAACTCCCAGAGCCCTAAAACCACAGAGAACATTTCCAGTTGGCCCGATCCCACCGGTGAGGTAACAGCACTGGGACCCCTGACAAGCAGAGAGACTCCACATCATTTATGGGAAGAGAAAAATCCAGAAGTGCCCGAGCAGAGACCAGACAAAAGGACTGTTCTTTGTGTTATCTTAGCATTTGGCAGTGACCATGTCGGACTTGAACAGGGGAGAGAAAATAACACTTAAGAAGGCACTGATCAATGATTTCAGGGTAATGTTGTGGTTTCTGTAATCTAATAAACATTTTTTGACAGCTGTAGGTATGAGTTAGTTTGTGTGGGTTATGGTTTTACATTCAGCATGAAGTAAGGTCAGAAAATATTGTTTTTGTTGGGTAACCAGGGGCAGATCTACAAAAAGCCTGGCCACCCCAGTTTGATGTCTAATAAAAACACATTAATTTAGCTTAATTTAAAAAAATAACATGTTAAAAAACACAAATTAACACATTGGATTTAGTGATCTGTTATGGCCACATTTTATACTAGTTCAATGAAAAAAAGATTTGGATTAAAAAGATAAAAACAATTTATTGATTTCTAATGACACTTTTAGTTCTATTCAATGCTAATGTGCCACAGTGATGTTATGTTTTTCAGTTCAAATATCTTTATTTGAAGGCATTTCCAAGCAAATATTCATATATGTGATTTGTTTTTGCGATTAAATCAACATATATTTCTACCACCCTCCGGCAACCCCATGAATATTTCTCTAGATCCGCCCCTGTGGGTGACTGGAGTCTACAGCCAGTTAAGTTGAGTTTTGAGGTAAATGCTAACATCTACATGCTAACGTGCAACAGACAGAACAGAAAAGAGCAGATATGGGTGCCACGATAGATGTTTTGCATGCTAAAGTTCACAGCGACAATGCTAACAAAGTTTATCAGGTATAATGTCACCCTGTTCTTGTCAATTAGCTCTAAACACAAAGCTGAGGCTGATGGGAGTGTCATTAGTTTTTAAGATATATGGTGATAATTATATTGGACACATTAAAGCTTTATCTGATGATGGATGAAGTAAAGAAATCACCAAAGTTGTTACAATACATCCGTCAACCTCATGGTGGCGCTAAATACACAGTCAGAGAATCACTAAAGTCAGTAAGGTTCATCCTCTGGGGGCCACGTCTCTACCAATCCACTACAGTCCGTCCAATAGGTGTCGAGATACGTAATTTTGACCTGCTGGTGGTCCTGGAGGAAAAGACAGAAGATCGTTACGATTCATCCTCTGGGCACCATGAATATATATATCTGTACCACAGTTCATCCAATAGTTATCGAGACATTTTACTAAAACCCAAACCAAACCTCAATAATACTTAAAGTCCGATCACCAAAGTCCAAAGTACCGCTCACCCTCTGGGGACCATGAAACTTCATGACGAGCCCTTTAACAGTTGAGATAGAACATGTTCAGAAATTTTGAAAATAACTCTTGTAGAAGCTTCATGACACAATTGATTGCAATGCTTTGTGTAGACGTTTCCACATATTTATAAATCAATATAGTTACTTTTCTGGAGTTCCCAAGCTTTTCTAAGGCTTACTGTTTGTAGATCAAGAGTGAATTTTGATTTTTTTAAGCAAACAGACAAAAACAGCCAAACTCCACCTGTTGATGAAGATCATGTGATATAATTGAAAGTTCTAGAATAGTTACTAAATGGACCTTGAAGTGTTTTGTCAAAGTTTCGTTCTTCACTATCAGCACTTTTCCTGCAGGAATGAAGAATATTCTCCCAACTTGACTTCTTCCTCTACCACTGAAACACCGGTACAGAGGAGGGACATTACTGGGCTGCATACCAATTAGCATCATTTATGTCTCCTACATCTGTCTGTCCTCCATCTTTCCACTTTTCCACTTTTGTCGTGACCGCCCCCCCACTTTTTCTTTCTGTTGCTACAGTTTGTCTCCATTTGTCAAACTTGACGTGATTTCTAAGAATGTGTCCCCTTGATGTTAAATTATTTTGCTAATTTTCTGACTGATGCTTCTGCAGTTACTGCCTATCTACTACTGTTAGTTGTCTCATGAGGATTTAAAAACTCACATCAAAGTGCTGATATATCTGCAGACACATTTCTTATATTGGCACTGGACGAGTACATCGGAGGTTGTTTTATTTCTTTTGTTGCAGTGCCTTTATACGCCCATTTGTTTTTAATCTCAGTAGCATAATCCTTTTTTTAAAACCCATTCATGTATTGTATTGCAATTTGTTAGCAGTATGTGTATGCAGCATATAAATATATAACAAATACAGTACATATAGCGTGATATATGCATGTATGTATGTATGCACAATATGTATTATCCTGTATTTGTGTCACCTGAATCACCTACGATGATTCATTAATTCAATTTCCAGTCAAGTTCAGTCAAGTTTCAAAATATACAGTGATCCTATATTTATATTTTACCTTAGTATAGTAACATTTAACTATTTAACTGTGAAATATCCAGCCTCAGTACATGTCAGTGCTCCTTCATTCAGTGTGCATTGCTAAAAATGTTTGTTACGTTTTTGAGTAAAAAAGCAGATTTATACATTTTGAAACTTTTTCTATATATATATATATATATATATTATATATATATATTAATTATATATATATATATATAAGTTTTGGTTAAGTTCTAGTCTGTAACTGTGATTAAAATGGTTAAATAGCCTTTTTATGAGGTGTTTTTTCTATTATTGCTTTAGTTTATATAGTTATAGTTTGCCAGTTTTGTCAGCTTCCTGTATTGGCCATGACTAAAAAGTCAGAGACTCACACATCCTCACATCTGCGAAAAAATCCAACTCTGCCACCAAAAGCAAAAGAAGAAAACATCACGAAGAACATAAAAAGTTGTAGGATTATGTAAGCTATTACTCGAGCAAACCGTTCAGACATCCTCTTGAATTGAAATCTTGCAAATTGCTGAATATTTACAGATGTAGTAAAACTTAAAGACTCTACTGAGGCCCAGCGGGGGTCTTATTAGTTTCCTATCATTGAGAAAGGTGAAATACGAGCAGCTGCCGTTTCTTTCTGTGTCTTTTTTAAACTTTGCTGTTTAACTCTCCGAAGGCTTGCTGAGGTTTTTCTCGCCCAGTAAATTTACAGCGAGCACTAATCTAGGCTGACAGTGCATTTTCATTGCCACTGCGAAAGGCTGCAATAACATACCACTTAATTGAATGTTAGATTCACTTAAACACACTTAAGGATAAGTGGACTCCAAAATATCGTTTTATCTCAACCCGGTCATTTGAAGTTGCAGCCAAACGTTGCCTTCCACTGTCACTTGGCAGCAGATGGATTGGGTCAACTGCCGTCCCATAATCCTCTGCTGCTCAGACAGGGTTTTCATCAGGAATGGATGTTTTAAGTGGCTCTTAACTCTCTCAGTGCTTTCATCTGCCCAGCAGCCCCAGGGAAGTTTTTTATTGCCTTTTTAGCCTTCAAACATGTTCATCACCGTGGCATAAGGGATAACTTAGCCAGAAAATATTATTAATATTAGTCTTGTTGGACACAAACACACAGGCATGATGGTAAACAGGTGTGCTGAGGTGAAGAGAGGCATGTCAGGTTCCTGTCTGACAAACATGCTTCACTGGAGAAGCAGAAAACATTTAAAATATACTTTTCTAAAATAAATGTATTATACATCATTTAGAAGATCTCATCCATTTTTATTAGAGCTTCTTCCATAAAGCTGTAAAAGAACTTTGTTTTTCATGCACAAGTGGAGCAAAACAATGTTCTTCACTCATTTAGGAAACCTGCAGTTTACCAACACTTGCTGCACAACATGGCTCAAAGTCAAATTCATGTAAAAGTTTCTTACCCAAAAAAGCAACGAGGAGCAGCGCAGTTGACGGCCCCATTCCGCACTTGAGGGAGGACAGAAACGAGCTTCACTGGTCACACTGGGGAGATCCGGAGTTTCCTTTACGCGGCGTCCTTGTTTATTCCGACACAAATCCTCACATTATGTATCCAAAGCGTGGAGGAAACACTCCTGCGATATCCGAGCATCCTAGGAAACACACCACCGGTTCACTAGAGAGAATAAAAACAAAACCCTCCTCCTCCCGCCGCCTGATGTACCCGAGGGTCAAAACAAAAGAATCGCAACTACAAGACGAATTCAAGTCCAAACTTTACTGCGGAACTCCCTGCAGGAGTTTAACGTTGTCTGTCACTGTTGGAATGAAGCGGCTCGGTTGCTTTTACGCGCGTCCTCCGTGCGTCCTGGAGGAGTGTTTGTACGTGTGTTCAGAGACTGGACTCAAACACCACCCCCCTCCGTCCCTCCCGCCTCTGTGGAGATTTTAGGGGCGTGGAGTGTGTGTTGAAGTTTTCTCCCGTTAGGTGCACACTGCAAAAAGTCGTCCCATGTGTGCAAGGTGTGTTGGTCAACTGTTTAACCTGGAGATGTTTTCAGTCTTAAATAAATTGAGATGGCTTTAATTTTATTATTAAATAAAGCAAACTATATAATATATGTAGTTTTTAACTTTATTCCTCAATAACCCTCCCTAAAATCTGATTATAAAAGCAAAACCTTCAATTTGAAAACTGAATTCAAACTGAATTCTATCTACACATGCGTAACTTTTTCTATTCAGTTTAAAGAAAAACAGATTTTAACTCCATTTGAGATTAAATTGGTCAAATGATATGTTTTGCAGTGAAGACATTTTACCTATTTATACATTTCAGAGGGTAAAACGTTTCTTTAGTTAAAAGGTTTCTTTTCTCGAACTCTTTTAATTACTGTCAGTAGGTTTCTGTTGTTGCAGTGATTGGTTTACACAGATAGAATAGTGAAGGGATGGTCAAATTAGTGATCTATCTAGTGATTATTTAAAGAAATATAGTGTTATTTGGGATTACAGTTGTCCTACGGTGACACTGAACCTTCACTGTTGAGTTTTCAGTCCTTTTGTTTGTGTCCAATGTGCTTCTTCTTATCAATCACGATGAATGCTGCACATTTTTCTTGACCGTCGCTCTCAAATTATACACTTCTTTTAGCCTGCCTGCCTGGAGGGAGGAACTTCAACAAAGGTTCACAGAGGGATTTACCTCCCAACACCTGTGTGTGTCCAGAGAGAGAGAGAGAGAGAGGAAGAGAGAGGAGAGAGAGAGAGAGAGAGAGAAGAGAGACCTTTGCCTTGAGTTTCCAACTCTCTGTCCTCTTTTCAACTTGTGGCTTGCTGTCGTCCTCTATCTTTTGACCCTGAGGCGAGTCTTCAGCTCCTCCTTGCATTCATTCACTGAGCCCACCTCTGACACTGAGCCACTGTGTTATATCTGCCTTATAAACCAGCGGCCTCAAACCAAATGGCTGGGGGCCATTGCTGGTATTTTCATCTCATAGGAGGGCCACTTCAACATTGAAGGACTGCAAAACAAAGTGCAATGTTCTAAAAATATTTCCATTAGTACCATCATATATAAACAACAGTTTCCCTACATTTTTATATCATCTTTATTGTTAGCCGCCAAAAACACATATATCTATCTTAATTGTATATGAAAAGTTAGTTTAAATTAAGATTATACTGTTATTTTTGTCATCATGTCGCAGGCTGGAGCGAAGGGGGCCAGAGGGCCGGAAATGGCCCTGGGGTCAGCAGTATGAGATCCCTGGTTTAAACACTGATTGTATCTGCACAAAAGCACTTCTTTCTTTTATGATGATAGATTTCCTTTTCAGCTTACAATGACAGCTTCACAACTTATGACTTAAAAACCTTTAAGCTGCAAATTTTCCAAAGAAAGATTAGATAGAGGAGATCGGTAGGTGGAGCAACATTTGTCAACATTTTATGTAAAGTTTTACTACAGTAGAACAACTAGTACCCCTTAAAGGAGTACTCCAAAGATTTTGAATTTTAGTACAACAGTGTCAGTCTCACAATGGACATAAAAACATTAAAAAAATTACACATTAACCATAATGCAACTTGGCTACCAACAGTTTGGTTGGAGATTTGGGTGTGTTATGTGATATGAGATCTGGAAAACTCCACACCACCAGATTTATTTTATCATTTTCAAACTTGTAGTCTTCAGCCTTAACCAACGCTGACTCAAGTGACATCACTTGAGGTGATTTATCAAATTTCACACAGCACCCTCTGGAGCCACAAAATTTGTATTCACCTTTTTTCACCTAGCAGTAACCCTCCCAATGAAGCAAACATTACCTGTACGGCCAAACATTGTTCAAATTCATGCTCATTTAAACTGATACAGAATTAGGGTAGGTAAATGAATCTGTCAGTCAGATTTAATAAAACTCTTTTTATCATTTAGACTATAAAATATCAGAAAATAGCAAGAAATGTTGATCACAAGCTCCCAGAGGTCAAAGGTGACATCTCTAAATTACTTGTTTTCTGCAATTTACTGTTATTTAAACAGAGTAAAGCACCAAATCCTCACATTTAAAGGCATGAACTAGTGACTACTTTATAGTTTTATTGTTAAATATAAAAAAAAAAATCATGCCTGCCCAAAATTTCTATGACCTTAAAAGTACTTAAGGGGAGACAAAATGGCAACATTAGGGGGTTAATAAACTTCTGCTTATGTATTGAATTCTGTTCCAATCAACTTAAAAAAAGGCACCAAACAAACGTGTGTCAGTGTAAACTTTACATCCATGAGAGATATGATAGTGAAGGAGGCCCCGGCCATACACAAAAACAGTATTTCATGTGCTTATCCAATAATCCTCCAAACCTTAATCAGTAGCGCAATCCTCCACTCAGGGAGTTCTAATTAATTTCTTTTGTCTGGAGTCTTAACCCTCACGGCTGCCTCCCTCTACACTCCATGGTATTTGCTCTTTTTCCTCTAATCCTGGATCCACGCTCTGGGAGAGTGACTCTCTCTCTCAGTTCCTTCTTTTCTCTGGATCCGGAAAAAGCCGCAAAGCGAGATCCGGACAAACAGACTGATAGGATTTGCAAGAAGCCCGGAAGGGGTATTAATAAGAAGTCTGTATAGAGGAGAGGCTGGAGGCAGGGAGGTGAAACTGGAAGGCTTGTTCTGGTGTGCTGACCCCTGCGTTGTCCTGTGTGGCTAATCAAAGCATCACTGCACCCTCTTTGTGTTGCTGCAGGAATGTGATCTACGAGAGGTGAAAATAAGACTGCTTTGATTGTCAAAAGCCTCAATGGGACAGTAAAACCAGTGAAAAACTATTTGCAATCACATTTCCTATAGAGAGTGTTGATTTTATCTCATAAAAACTGTGTCATGGTGCAACGTGATTACGATTTTGCCTGTAAAAGCTGAAACTCTTTTTTTTAAACTATCAGTGAATCTTTCTAACATGTTTTTTGTATTAAGCCTTTATCACCAGTGTCCCTAAACATGTCAGAGCAGATGAATGTGAATAGGGACATTTCAAAGTTGTTGTCTCTCTGTTTCTGATTAAGGTCTTGAAGAATTGGATGACTGTGCTGTTTTCTGTTTGCCTCTTTTTTCATGTCTCCCCATAGACGTTTGTGTCATTTCTGGAGAGTGTTGTAAAAGGCGGAATGAGAAGGGAGTGGCACACAGTGAACATAAAACTTGCACTGAGTTATGGGATGTTAATTGTTTGACTGTTTATTGTTTGTTACTGTATATAAGGTCAGAGGAGTTATTGACTTGGCAATAGTTATGTGTTTTCAGTGACATGTTAGCTATCATTGAATATGAAACCTCTTCAACCCTACCGACTTACTGGTGAGCCATTCAGACTTTCCTCAAACACCACAGGATTTAATTTTCTCCACTAGGGAGATCAGAAAGTTTATACTAATATAAATATACCAAATATGTCCGATTAAACTTCACAGAATTGGGTATAAAATGACACATCTGAAATATTTCCATTTAGTGTGATTGTGCAGTCATATTAAACAATGGAGTCTCTGGTCTGGGTATTTCATTGAGTGTAAAACTATACTGTAGTATCAACAAAGAGCTGGAACGAGCTCATGTAGAATATATATTATAATGTCAGTGTGGAGATTATGTTAACATTCTTACAGCTACTTAAACTTGCAATAAAACATATTTTGGCCACAGCAGAAAAGAAAGTGGTAACACAAAACTGACATATAGTCATCTATCATCTCAAGTTGATATGGTAAACAGTCGCTTGTTTACACATCCAGCAGATACGGAGAGACATTATCAATTTGGAGTCGTGTTTCCATCCACCTGATGAGTCTTAGTTTTAGTTGTGTTTTTGGTTTCCACCAACTCCAGAAGGAAATATATTGCCGTTTAGGTGTTAAATGGCTACCTAGTTGCTAACGTTGTTTTGTCAGCTGATGGGCAGATAGCTTAAAAGTGAGTTGTTGTTTTTTTTAGCTTTTTCAATGAAAAAAGCTGCCTGAAAGACGCTAAAATGTTTTGCAGAGCTGAGCAGCTTTCTTTTTAAGCAGCTGTCATTCATCATGCAGTTAAAGGAGTTCTCCAGTGATTTAGTATTTCACTTTCAAGAAAATTGGGGGGAATGGTCCAAATCTGTGCAGCAGAAGGCACGCTAACTTTTAGTCCCTTGTGTTGGTCAAGCTTGAAAAACACTGGATCCTACAATTACCATAATGCACCTGAAAACCTGTTTCATTGGACCCACCCAAGTGCACACTATAATAACCCTGATAACAACACAAGGAGTTTTTTTGTCAGACATTGGAAAGCTCCTCCAGAGTCACAGAAGACATTATCGACTGTTTTCTCAGTGGAGTGACCCTTTAAGTGAGATAAAACATATAAAATATATCTGCAAACATGACTGTACTTGACCCACGTTTGCTCCAACTGCAGAAGGACGAAAAGCTCAGCAGTCAAACAATGAGTCAAATATGTGAGGTAGCCTTGAGCCCAGTCGAAGAGGCTCGGCTCCAAGTTCAGTTTCTATATGGCCGACATCTGCTGCTGCAGAGACAATTGAAGCAGTACAGTTAAATCAGTCCAGACCAGGAGCGGGAAACAGATAGACAAGAGAGGAGGGGAAGGCAGAGAGGAGGTGAGGGAGGTTATTTCATTGGTAAATACTCCAATGTGCAATGAGAGATCCTATTGTGTAGAACTTTTTCTGATATAAAACAGCCAAGGAGGAGTCAAGGAGAAATTGTCCCTGAAAAAAGAAAAAAAAACAACTCCCTGAAACAAGGGAGAAGATAAAAGGACAATGTTGAAGAGAGAACACGCAGAGG